GCTGTCACATATATTGTGATGAAGGGTAGTGTTTGTAATGATGCACATATAGCATTTGATATCTGGCTTGTTTTTCTCTTGCTTCTGTTTCTTCTTTGCCTTTTGGGATTGAGTTGGAGCTAGTCGAGATATCTTTTTGTAGGTGCATATATTTTAAAGGATTCAGCTAGTTTATGTTCTGTTTAGTTTATCATGTGGATGCCATTGTATAGTCACTTTTCTGATGGACCTTTTTTCATATATTTTCACATCATGATTTTCAATAAATCTGCCAGTTCCTACTTTTTCCTGGAAATATATTGTCGCAGCTGCAACACGATGTTTCTGCTTTATTTTAGCAACCGATATGTGAATCTGATTCTCCTGGAAGTAAAAACTTGTAGTTTTTGGCATAATGTTTCTGCATGATGTGTCAGGTTGTGTGGTTGAATTTAGAACAGGGAATAATTATTTATCTGTCTTTTATTCTTACTGCTCGCAGGCCAAGGGTCTGGGCTATGCAATTAATACATCTGAGGAGCTTAAATTTGTTAAGGAAATTGCTACCGCTACTGGGGTCATTCTTGATCCAGTTTACAGGTATGGTACTCCTATTCTTTGGTATGATCAACAGTACTGGAGTTTTTCATGTCCCTGTTCTCTTCTTCCCATCTGCCAAGCATTAAATCATCTGATATGTTAACCACATAAAGAAGGCTTCTGTTTGTGGAGAAGGAAATGGTCTTGGGCATATGGATGCAAGTTTGGGGGTGGTTATGTTGCTGTGTCATGCAAAAATACAGTAGTGTGCAAACTGTTTTCAGACTTTCCCTTGCATTATCCATTTTCATAAGAATACTCAGGCACGCACACTTTTCATAAAATTGTGTGTAGATCTAACGTAATAGTTTATATAATTACAAGTTAGCATCGAACATACCTTCCAGTTTAGCTTTAATCACGACGAATACAAGTTCTTAGTGTGAAGATCCTGAAGTTCACTGATGCTCTCATTGTGCTATCCTTGTAGTGGGAAAGCTGCTTATGGGATGATGAAAGACATGGCAGAAAATCCAAAGAATTGGGAAGGGAGAAAGGTCCTCTTCATCCATACAGGGGGGCTCCTAGGATTGTTTGACAAAGTAGACCAGATGTCTTCATTGGTCAAAAATTGGGGCCAGATGGAAGTCCAGGAATCTGTTCCGAGAAAGGATGGTATAGGAAAAATGTTCTAGTGAAGAAAATCCAGTTTGTCAGCTTCCTTCTCGTTTATTTTCTTGGTAATTCCCAAATTTGTGTTTCATAATGAAGCATGAAAACTATGTGCTTGTTTCCTGTACACACGCACGCACGCACGCATAAAAAAAAAAAGGATTTAAATTGCACTTTTGTTTCAAGTCAATTTCAGGTAAAAAAAGGATTGTGGTATGTGCAGGCTTTGCTGGACTGCTGAAAGTCCTGATTCAGTGAGAAAGACATATTATTCTCGTAAGCAAGGATATGCTGCTAAATTTGAGTCGGAACCTGAACTGTTTACAAGGCAAAACTCTCTTGGCAGTCGGAGAACCTGCTTGTGACTGTTGCTCGGGTTACTAAATAAGATTAAGCTGCCACTTATGCTTGTTCTAGTCATGGCATCATCAGATTTTTATCTTCAGCCTCGTCTTGGGAAATCTTTCATATAATCATCTATTCATCTTTTTCTAACAGCTTTGAGTTGTTCTTGGATGAGATTCCGATCTTGAAATCTAAGTAATTGAGCTCCATCAATGATATTGTATTAATACTAAACTAGTGATCAAGATTATTTTTAAAAATGTTTTTTATTTTAAAATATATTTAAAAATTATTTTTACATCAATATCTCAAATCCTGATTCATTTTTTAAATCATAAAATTCTTTAGTAACTTTTTCTCTCCTTTTATTCAAACGTTAACTAATTCTATCACTGCTGAAAAGGGTCATGGTAGGGATCGAGGAGAAAAGAATGAAATAAAAAAACTCGGATAGCAAGATGGCGGGAAGAGTTCATCTTGCATGGCTGAAAATGCTAGCCAGCCTTGGCCTAGCTAACCAAGTTTTATTTCAATCCACAAATATCCAATGCATGCAGACAAGATATTAGCATTGTTTTTGATAAGGCGGTATAAATTATTTTTGTAAGATTTTTTTACTTAAAAATATATTAAATATTAAGATAGTATTTAAGAGTAGAATCATCGTTGTTTTTAAAATATTTTTTCTTTAAAAATATATTAAAATAAAATTTATTTTTAACATAAATAAATAAATTTCTAATATCAGAAGTTATAAAAGTGAATTGGCAATAATTGTTTAAAAAAGTAAGTTGACAGAGAAAGGCCCGACACAAAAGTGAAAGAGAAGAAGCGGAATGGCTGGTTTGACACCACGTCCGCTAGTCTATTAACCTTTTTAGGGCAGGAGACGAGTCGCTGCATTTGTTCGGTGTGAACATGTGAAGCTGACATTGCACGCGCTTAGATAATTAATTGACAACGAACTGACAAGAGATTTAGCCATGCCGACTGCCTGCTCTGTCTCCGCGTCTGAGTAATTTATTTTCGTCCTTATTAATCAAAACATTTTATTTTCGTCCTTGACGATGCTGCCTGAATAAAATCTTTTGTGCATTACAATAAATATTATTTCCTCTCCTTTCAATGTGTACCATCACAAGTGCTTTCGAGAAACTGCAAGAACTAGCATAGCTTGCAACTTAATCTTGGTTTCTTAGATTTTTTTTCAATCATCTAATAGTCATACATATCACAAGGAGTATTTCATAAAAAATTAATGTTTTTTTTAATGTTTAAAATAATTTTTTCATGTTTTTTAATTGCTTTGATATGATAATGTTAAAAATAATTTTTAAAATAAAAAAATATTATTTTATATTTTAAAAAACAACCAATAATTTCTATATTAAAAAAAAAAAAGATGATAGCTTTCACTCTTTGTTCTCCAATAATGGAAGCATCATCTTGCAATATCTCACTTCCCACACTACTTTTTTCAAGTCCTGGGGTGCAAGTGTCTACAGATGGAGAGAATATTTGGAAATATAATAGAGGTTATTTTTTAATGTATTTTTATGTAAAAATAATTTTATTTTTTAATTTATTTTTGATATGGCATATAAAAAATATAAAAAAATAATTAAAAATTAAAAAATTAAACACAATTTTATTAGTATGGACCTAAATATTCATATTTATTTAAATATATGATATCAACCAAATAATATTTCCATGTGATAATAAGTTTAGAATTTATAAGTAATTTTATAAATAAAGATTAACTATAATAATAGTTAAAATAAAATAAAATTTATCTTATGTAATTACCTTCTAGTGGTTTAAAAAATTTTATATTGAAATTATCATTAATTTCTAAAAAAATACAAGTATTATGTATATTATTTTATATATTACATGTTAAAATTACATGCAACCATTATAATTTATGAGCTTTTAATCATTATGATTATGATATTACCTCGAGGAATCTTCTTGAAAGCTAAGTAATTGAGCTCCAACCATGATATTGTATTAATACTAAGTTAGTGTTCATGATTATTTTTAAAAATATTGTTTTATTTAAAAATATACTAAAATAATATTTTAAAAAAATTATATTCAATATCAATCATTTATAAAATCATAAAATTCTTTAAAAACTTTTTTTTCTCTCCTTTTATTCAAATGTTAACTAATTCTATTACTGCTGAAAAGGGTCACGGTAGGGATCGAGGAGAAAAGAATGAAATAAAAAACTTGGATAGCAAGATGGCGGGAAGAGTTCATCTTGCTTGGCTGAATATGCTAGCTAGCTAGCCAGCCTTGGCCAAGCAAAATAAACTCTTTACGCCACCTCTCTAACCAGTACCTTTTAGAAAAATAAGGAAGCAATATCTCACTTCCCACACTTCTTTTTTCTAGTCGTGGATGTAAGTTTTTATGTTTTGAAGTCTGGTAATAGTTATTTTTAAAAATATTTTTATTTAAAAATATATTAAAATAAATATTATTTATTAATTTATTTTTAATATAATATATCAAAAATATAAAAAAAATATTTTTTTAAACCGGCTTTTAAACACAAAAACATATATGCTAAAGTCTCCTCCATCTTATTAGCTTGGACATGGTTATTTTTTAAAATCTTTAGTTTTCTTGCTAACAAAGCTAAACAAAATTGTTTTTGCAAAATATCATTTAACTAGTTATATTTTAGATTTGTTTTTTAAAAATTTATAGTTTAAATTTTATAAATTTCAAGATTATTAAAGATGTATAATTATTAATTTTAAAATCTTAAAAAATTAACCATAAATTTATTCGAACAACTATATTAAAAAAATAAAATTTATCAACATGTATATTAAACTTCTGCTTGATTAATTATCAAGAAAATGACTTAATTACGTGGAAGTTAGATAAGCTGTAGTCATCTCACTCGAACAAGGATGGGATATCACTATCATGGTCCTCCACGTTCATTTGTCTATGTCTTGATATTTACCCCTCAAGTCGTGGCTGCCTTTGCTTAGACGTTGTGCATCTTGCAATAATATTTTTTATTTTTAAAATTTATTTTTAATATTAATATATCAAAATATCTAGAGATATTAAAAAATAATTTAAAATAAAAAAAATAAAAAACAGGGTAAACAAAAGGGCTTTTAATATGTGTAAAATATTATGGTAGTTTTCATTATTATGATTTAAAAATATTCAAGAAAATTATAAATTATATATTTTTTAATTTAAGCTCTTACTATAATTTAAGATAAAAAATAAATAAATTGAAGTAATGAAAAATAAATGATTTTTGAAGTTATTGTCCGTCACATCACAACCGCCAAATGAATCTTTCAAACAACATCTAAGAACAAAAACACAAATATTTTACTTATTTTTCTATAACGAAAGGTGAACTCACCAATGATTTGAAGTTATTATGGTAACAATCAACAAAGTGAAACTCTTCTTTTGTTTTTAATGTTCAAACAATTTTGATTTATGAAAGCAGAAGAGAAAAATGAAGCGTGTACACTTGAATTTACCTCTACTCCAATCAAAGCCTGCACAGAGACACCGCCTCATTGAAGATAAGCAGTGATTAGAGGCTAAGGAACATTGTGAAAAGCATCTCTCCAGCATGAAGTCTAGGATTTCTTGTCGGCAGTCGTCAAAGAGGGTGGCCCATCACTTTGATCCCGCTTCTCAGTACGTGGCCTTGTTTACTTGCCCTTCTAACCTTCAGTTTCCAAGGCACTCCATCTTCTAGCCATGTATAAATGTTTGTGATAACTCCCAGATTAATAATATTCGAGCATTTAGAGTATACTTTTTTTCACAGCATTCCATTTCTCTCTTTGATATTCTCTGAGTCTTATATCGAAGACTACTAGGTTACTAGATACTTATATAATTTGGACATTAAGTGATAAGATCATCATGGTAATCTCTACTGCCGCAACAGATTCTGATGAGAATTCGTACTCCACTTTTGCTTCCAGATATGTACGCACTGCACTTCCAAGGTATGTGTTTTTTTCTATGCTTCTTTCCTTATATTTTTTTTGTTTAAAGGAGGAACAGCTTAAATATATAGACTGACAAACATGGGTGGAGGACTGTTCAAATCATTTCTCTGCATGAAAAGACTCATCTGATCCTTCGTTGGGTTAATTTTGGGCTATTCCAGTATTTGGCATGGACCAGATACGATGAATAAAGGGACTTTCTTGTTTTTGGTTTTGTTCTCTTTGTTTCTACTGGCCCTGAACCATGGAGGTTAGTAGAGAGAGACACTTGATCGTTCGTCCGACAAGGCCTTTATTTTTATATATTTATCTCAAAAATAATTGCTAACGGTTTGTATATAAGATTCAGCATTGAGTATATGCTAATACCCTTTTGTAGCATTTTTGGTGTAAGGGGACCTGGACTGTCATTTTTCTTATCATCTGGAAGATAAAATGGTTGAACTACCGAATTTTTACTTTTCAATAGAGTTTATGCTTTCCTCGTTTTGATTTTGCTGCTAGCACGTTCATGACTTCAAGCTACGAATATGTTATGCTAATTGTGGAGTTCTGTGAGTTGCTGCAGGTTCAAGATGCCAGGGAATTCAATGCCAAAGGATGCAGCGTACCAAGTGATAAATGATGAGCTGATGCTGGATGGTAATCCAAGGCTCAACTTGGCATCTTTTGTGACAACATGGATGGAGCCTGAGTGTAATGATCTCATCATGGCTTCCATTAACAAGAATTATGTCGACATGGATGAGTACCCTGTTACCACAGAGCTCCAGGTTTTATATATTTCTTATTAATGTTGGCTAGTAAAAGATCTAAGAAGAATTTGGAGATTATCATGCATTTCGTTATTTTCGCAACATGTGAAGGATAATGGCTTCCAGTTTGTTGTAGGATATGAATTATGAGAGGGCTGATATTCATCATCCACAGGAAAACCTGAGTGCTGTTAGCATGACATATTCAACGAGTCAATGATTACGATTATAGATTACCTTGTCTCTAGCATTGAGATAACTGCTCTTCGAAATGCGAAAGGATGCAAATTCTGCATTATAAAATGAATTTAGGAGTAACTAATCATTAACTATGTGGATTAATGGACATCAGCATTTTTAAAGTTTATGACATTTATGTTTCGTATTTTAATTCTGATTCTGCAGAATCGATGTGTAAACATAATAGCCCACCTGTTCAATGCTCCTGTTGGAGAAAAAGAAACTGCAGTTGGTGTCGGGACTGTGGGATCATCAGAGGCCATAATGCTGGCTGGATTAGCTTTTAAAAGGAAGTGGCAGAATAAGAGGAAAGCAGAGGGCAAACCGTACGATAAGCCCAACATAGTCACAGGAGCTAATGTGCAGGTGAGTTTTTCATCAAGACAGTCATGCTTCTTAGTTTACAATTGGAATCTGGCCATAATGTCATTCATTTTCCTTCTGAAGAATGATATGTTGCTTTTGAACACATGTGAACTGTGTGTGCTCTTCATGCTGTATATAACAGGATGTTGCTGCTCATACCATGTTTTTTTTGTTAACTTCAAGCACTAGTACCATACTTTTCTGTTCTTTATTCAGCATGTTGCAAAGTGTATAGCTGCTGCATCATTAGCTCACGGTGCTGCATTAATTTTAAATGTCACAATTCAAGAATAGAGAACAAGTTCGATCGATGTTTGATACAAGAACAGAGACATACTCAAGTTGTACATTTCTTGAGCAAACACTTTACAGTAGTTCTATATATTTGCCAAGATTGAAAGCATTAGTCTATTTCAATGTTGATTCATTACATCTGGATCTTTTTGTATGGGCTCATGCTTCACTTAAGAATTGATGTTTTTCTTAGTAGATGCTTGCCAATTTCGTTAGAATTCTCCATATATGCTTGCCAATTTCGTAAGAATTAGGTAGTTTGTAGTGGTGATGGATTGAAACCATTGAAATCCTGAAGTAGAAAACGTTCCTGCTTTGCAAAACCACACAGAAGAACAGGTGTTGCCAGGGCCTATATTAGACCAAAATATAAGCAATAATTTCTTTATTATCATCCAAGATACAGTGATAGAGTAAGGGAATTATTGTTGCTTGAATTTACTGACATTATATACATCTACATAATGATTTGGTCACTTATAGCAGCAATGCTAAATGTTCCCTGTATTTCGTTGCTCAGGTTTGCTGGGAGAAATTTGCAAGGTACTTCGAAGTTGAGCTGAAGGAGGTGAAGCTGACAGAAGGGTATTATGTGATGGACCCAGTCAAAGCGGTTGAGATGGTGGACGAGAACACAATCTGTGTGGCAGCCATTTTGGGATCAACACTTACTGGAGAGTTCGAAGATGTGAAGCTTCTCAATGACCTCCTCTCCAAAAAGAACAAGGAGACTGGTTGGAACACGCCAATTCATGTTGATGCCGCCAGTGGAGGGTTCATTGCTCCTTTCATTTGGCCTGATCTTGAATGGGACTTTCGTTTGCCATTGGTGAAGAGCATCAATGTTAGCGGTCACAAATATGGCCTTGTTTATGCTGGTGTTGGTTGGGTTGTTTGGAGGACCAAGGAGGACTTGCCAGATGAGCTAATATTTCACATCAACTACCTTGGATCTGATCAACCTACTTTCACCCTCAACTTTTCGAAAGGTAATGCATAGCGAGGGTTATCTTTTTAAGGCAAATTGGTTTATCTTACATTTCTTGCTATCAGCATGGAAGGTTTCCGCCGATGTCCACTTGAAATTAGATGGTTTGTTGCATGGAAACAGTTTAATATTGCAGCTCTGTAAATTTTTCAGTTTGCTTCTGTTACTAACTCCTTCTTTCTTCCATGTTTTTGTCAGGTTCAAGTCAGATAATTGCTCAATATTATCAGTTTATACGGCTTGGCTTTGAGGTAAATTTGTGTGTGTAATGGAGAATCCTTGTAGTCATCATGGAACAGAAAAAATGGTGACCTTTTCTCATGCCCCGAGTTAATCCATGACTAGCAGTTCTTTTGAGGGGACTTAAACTTCTTCTTGATCCTTGTTCCCATGCTAATTAATATGCATTTTGCAACCTTTACAAGATCCCATTTGAAGATGTTGCTATGGAAACAACAGTTAATTTGATATTTGAGCGATTTTAGATAAGCCTGTTTTGAGATATATTTTAGACAAGGCTCTGTTGTAATTTTCTCATTGTATGATGAACTTGTATCAGGGTTACAAAAGAATAATGGAGAACTGCCTGGAGAATGCGAGGGTGTTGAGAGAAGGATTAGAAAAAACAGGGCGGTTTGACATTGTCTCCAAGGAGAAGGGTGTGCCTCTTGTGGCCTTTTCTTTGAAGGACAGTAGCAAGCATACTGTATTTGAAATAGCTGAGAGTTTGAGAAGGTTCGGGTGGATAATCCCAGCGTATACAATGCCAGCTAATGCGCAACACATTGCTGTCCTCCGTGTGGTGGTCAGGGAGGACTTCAATCGGAGTCTGGCGGAGAGACTTGTCTCGCACATCGAGCAAGTCTTGAAGGAAACAGACTCACTTCCTAGCCGTGTCGCTGTTCAAGCATCGCACGTTGTTGCTGTTGACGAAACAGAAGATAACATGGATGACCAGAAGACTGTTAAAAAGAGTTCAAGGGAAATACAGGAGAAAGTCACCCTGTACTGGAGGCGGTTTGTCAGTGACAAGAGAACTGGAGCCTGCTAGTGCTCATCTGAGCATCAATCTCATACTGCTAAAACATTATGGTCAACCTGGTGGTGGTTTGTGATATTAAGCTACTAGCATTTTATGGCTCATATTATCTTCTGGTGTTCTTTGTGCTGTACTTGAAACATCAGATTGAAAATCTTTAAATAAAACAGGTCTTCCTCCAGTCTCGTAATTCCCTGAACAAGCTGCCACCAGAAAAACCTGTGTGATTCTCACCGAGGCCAATCATAAAATAAATAAACTAAAAATATGGCAAATTCACAATAGATACATTTTTCTGTATTTATTTTTTTTCCCTTTCCAAAAAAATATTAAATGCCTAGGTTTCCAGGTTTTTTGGTTTTTTATCATTAGTCATTAAAATTTGATTAGGGGTATGAATGTTTTTTCAGGAATTTTAAACAGGGTAAAATAATTGACCTTTTTTAGAAATTGCATTTTTATCTTTTCAATTTTTAAATACAATAAAATAACAAGAAGTTACCTTTCAAATCAAAAATAAATAAAGTGTAAGTTAAGGGTTTTTTGGTATTTTAACTCTATTTGTTCTATTATTACCGGGTTCAAAATAACTTGTTCTTTCTACATTAATTTTATATTATTTTAAATAGAAAAAAATTGTTAGTGCATGTCATATACACATCAGCATATCTGGAGCGTCCACAAGCTTTTGGCAACGCTTTATGTTGTGTAGTTAAAAGCATTACCAAATCCTCTTTCTATTGGTACAACCCATGCACCATTTATCACTTGTGAGGTTTTATTTTTCTTTCCTTTTTTAAAAAGTAGGTGGGTTTTTTTTATTATTGATATTTTAATTTCAATACTTATTCTTTTAATTTTTAATTTTTATTATTGATTTTTTATAAAAATATTAATTATTTTTTATTTTTTATGTGATCACTTCTTTTCTCAATTTCATACTTTAGTTGTTTCGGTGTTTCATTTGTTAAGGATTGAGCTTGAATTTTATAATTTTTACATGTATAATATTTTCAATTTAATGATTTAAATCATAAAATTAAAAAGTTAACAAAATTGACTTTTTTTATATAATATCATCATTCAACTTAAAAAAATAAATAAATTTATGGTTTTCTTAGATTTTTTTTCTTTTCTGCCTTAATAAGTTAACTCAGACTGAGTTAGACTGAGTTACTTTAAATTGTTTGAGTTATATGAGTTACACATATATATATTATAATAACTCAAATTGACTATGCTAGTTATTTTTATCTTTTTTTACCCAATTTCTTCCCTTCATAAAAATTAATCATTTTTCTGCTCTTAAAAAAAAAGTTATCATGATCATTTTTTAATTCATTTACTATTATTATTATTATTATTTCATATAATTAAAATAAAACCACCTTAGGCTATAATTTGAGTCATAAAGATTTAAAAAAAAAAAACAAAAACACATCTAAATTAAAATAATAATAATAATAATAAAGACCTGCGACACAGCAATTTGAACTGGTCTGTCGTAGCGTGTGCTGCAGTTTAAAAATTCAGGCCAGTCACGCTGCATATCACGAAATCCGGGAAGACATTGAGAAGATGAGTGAGTCAATCTGAATCAAGATAAAATGCCCATGTGTTATGTCGAGAACAAAGAGATCTCACTTGTTCAGACATATATGCTTTACATAAAGGTCCGAACTTCTCTCGAGCTCAGCCAAATTTAAGAGAAACTTCGTTAAGGAATAATCTAGTATTCAAAAGTAAAAACCCTTTGGCTTGCATTTCATTAAGAAGCAAAAGGAACACTAGATTCAACACAGAAACTTGATTTTTAGCCACTAAACATTTGCCATAAAGTTCATCCATCCATGCACAAAACGTCTCATTTGTGGCACCTAATTCATTGAAATACACAAGTCCTTTATTTCTCAAACAATTTAACCATAAATATGAATAAAATAAAATTTGCCTCATCAAGTCCTCCAGATAACAATCAAATCATAGATTAAATATGAATTTGATATGATTCAAGGATTAAAATTTACCAGCAATAAGGTCTCTGACACGGTGGAACAAGCACCCGTATTGCTGCAGTGACAAAACACGTCTAGGTTTTTTCAGAATATTGAAATATAATCAGTCTATTTCTGAAGCAAAAAAAGGCTCTGTATGGTTTTACAGAAATAACAAAAGGATTTGCATAACAAAGCAACAATCATGAACCCTATATCGCTGCCATGTTTATTTCCCGTTTGGAATATTAGCTGACAAGGACCCCAAAACAAAAGAAACAGGCAGATTCTACAATGACAAACAAAAAGGTTATTTTGTTCTTTCAAATCCAACCATTCTTGGGGCTTTGTTCAATTTTGATCCGGGGTAGCTGCTCCTTGATTAAGCTCTGCAAATCTCATTCCCACACGCATGGAATGCTTCATGAACTTTTCAGCACATCTCATGACACAAGTCTCCTCTTGCTTCTGAAGAGATTTGCGTGTGAAGCTATCTACACAATCATTAAAGCATCTCTCCACGAGTGAATTATACATCTTCAAGCTGCAGGTACCCCATAGCCACAAAAATAAAAATCAGACATCTCTTTTCCATCGCATAATATAAAAAACTCAGAAATGGTATCCAATGACAACAGTTTCCAAGTTTTCGATAGTTAAACTTAAAACAGCAAAATAGTTACAATTACTTGCAAGAACATCTAGAACATTACTTTCTACAACCAAATCACAACTGCTTGTTAAATCAAGAAAGCTTTACGTATTCGAAACTAATAATTAGCTAATGTAGTTCCCAAAACGTCCAAATGCAACATAAATGGCGTTGCAGTGGTTTTAAAGGAGAACATTCATCTGGGCTTCACATAATTAACGTCACATACAAAGAAATCAAATCATGTGACCTTTTGGCGTGTAATAAGCCAGGATGTGAGGCCCCCCACTTGAGTAAAATGCAACAGGAACCACAAGAAAGAAACCGAGTTGAAAAGATTTCACAGATCTAAGTAAGGATATGTTACCTATCTCGCAACTGAAGGTTTTCGATCATGGAAAGCATACGGGTCTGATCTTCTTTAGATAGACCTTCCATTCCTCCTAGCATGTCCTTGTCCATTGTTGATTGCTGATTTCAGAGATCTAGTTTGTTAGGGTTTTGGTTGATTTTGTGGATTCTACACACTAGTCGTGGGTGGCTGTTTAGGGTTCTAACCATCTTTCATTTTATACCCTATGGGTTTCAGAAAGCATTGCAACGGCGTCGTTCTAATCAGTTTGCTGACCTGGGCCTAGGTCAGTGAAGCGCAGTTCGAAGAGTATTGGTTTTTTTTTTTAACAATTTCTTTAAAAAATATATCAAAATAATTTTTTAAATTTATTTTTAATATTAACGTATAAAAATTATATCAAAATATTAAAATAAATTAATTTTAAATAAAAAAAATTATAACATAAAAACAAACAAGTTCTGAATAATATGCTCACCGGTGTTAATAAAAAATATAATTTTTTTTTAAATGATGTATTTTAAGGTTATTTTAAAAAAATACTTTAAAACAACATTGATGATTAAAAAAAGAGGTTAACTTTCATCCATCTGGTATATTTGAATTGAATTGATTTTTTAATTGGTTTTTATAATTATAATTGTGTGAGCATTTTATTATAACTTGAAATATGTTTTTTATATATATAAATTAATAGAGGAAGTTTCATTTCTTTTGTCTTGGTGTTTGAATAAAGAGGAGAAAGGGAAGGAAGTTAGATTTTATATACAAAGAGAAGAAAATATGAGAATTTAATGTTTCATTTAGATTATTAAAAAATCCAGGAATTTGATGCAAGTTGAAATTTTGATTTTATAATTTTGCTGATATTCCCCTTTGTAAAGACTTGAGGTTTTACATATTTATGAAGGACAAAACAATAATAAATTTCATTTTTGTGAGAGAAATTTATTTGATGACAAAGGAAATTGAATTTGTTTTCCTCACATCTTTTCCATCTAATTTCTTTTTATGTAACATTAAGTTCCCATTAATAATATTTTAAATAGTCAATGTCTAAGATATAAAAATATAAAAATAATTGAGATAAAAATATGTTTTGTTGAAGAGATAAGGACTTGAATAGAGATAAAAAAAAAATTGTCCTTGAAATAATTTTAGAGTAAATTTTATTAGTTTAAAATATGAGATATAGGGGGCATATCTCTAAATACAATATTTTTTATTTTTTATCTCTAAAATATTATTATAAAAAACTTTTATTTCCAAAATCATCCAACTAATTCATATAAGGATAAAAAAAATTATTATCTTAGTTTTAAAACTCAATTCAAAACAAGACCTGAGTCACATGTTAGAAAGGTTAACCCCAAAAACTTTTTTAAAAACAATGTTATTTTAACCCAATTTCTTTTAGTTTTAAAACTTGAACTCGAAGCAAGACCTAGGTCACACGTCAGGAAAGTTAATTCCATAAAATTTTTAAAAAACAATAAAAATATGTAATTTTAAAAAAAATCAACGAGATTTTGACATAGTTTTTACCCTGGGCAACCGAGTTACAAGTTGACTCCAATTTTGGTCGCATCAATCCTTCATTTATTTTTCTTAAACTTGAACCCATCAAGACCTTCATCACTCGGGTCTTAAGTTGATACATAGACAATCATTATATTTTATATATCATTAAACATATTGAGATGACAACATATTAGATCAATATAGATAAATTTATGTTAACCTACTAACACGATCAAATAATTGATATCTTTTCTCAAATACAAGAGTGTCAAAGTAATAAATAACACAGTAAGGTCGGAGTCGACCCACAAGAAAGTTAAAGATACAAAACCATAAATAATAAAAGAAATAGAGTTTAAGATATCTAAAAGATGTGATATTATTATAAAAATTTAACAAAAATAAAAGCAATTGTCAAGGTTAGAGATCCCTTAATGATATTTCAAATAAATATAGTCCAGACTCTTTTTATTAATCAATTGGAACTACACATATAAAAGGTTAAAGATACAAAACCATGAATAATAAAAGAAATAGAGTTGAAGATATCTAAAAGATGTGATTTTATTATAAAAATTTAACAAAGATAAAAGCAATTGTCAAGATTTGAAATCCCTTAATAATATTTCAAATAAATATAGTCTAAACTTTTTTTATTACTCAATTGAAAACTACACATAAAAGAGATTCTAAGTGAATGATTTATCATTAATAACTCATTTTAAGTTATTAATATGATCATATTAATTATTTTTATTTATCTTATTTGAGTGATGTCAACACTTATAAATATTATCAAGTATTCATAGAACTAACTTATACCAAGAGCGAATCAAGATCTTTTCATAATACAATTGTCAGTTCTCCATGCGACAACCTATAACATTAAGTATTTGTGTTATGATAATGAGAAAACTTCATAGAAAGCAATAATATGAGTAAACTCGGGTTACTCACCAAACTTGCGACTTGGGTTATAAAATTGGAATCATTGTTGTTAAAATTATGAGTTAACTCGTAAAAACATATAATTTTACGAGACAACACTTATCAAACATGTAAATTAATATTAAAACTCGAAAACCAATAAAATTAGACTTGACTCATGAAAAATTGATAAACTCGATCAAAATTATACAACATCATAATTTTGCACCTGAGTTTACAAGTTTATAGGAAGTTCATGATCAACAACTTAAATGTTTTCATTCATGAAAATTAGGCGCTCTTCCAACTATTTTACTTGATCACCAAGATCAATAATATCTTACCCATTTTTAAATAAGAAGAACTTGCTTTTTTTATTCCCTCGTGTTTTGGACTCTGGATAGTTCCATCTTGTAAGCTTGACCTCAAAATGATTTTACTGTGACCAATATGTTATATCAAAGACATGAGTTTTTTTATTTGAATATTAAACAAAAATTAGATCTAAGAGTCTTTAAAGTCTCTAAAGAGTTGATATATAGTCTCATTATAACTCGTGAGTTTTTGCCTTTGTAAAAGTAATGTTCTTACAAAGAAGATATCATCAGCATCTTCTACAAAGTAAAATATATGTAAAAGCCTCCTTGTTTTATTTGCTTTTCATTTCTCTAAACTTTTAAAGATTGGTGAAGTAAATAGAATTTGTTGATTGCCTGGTATACTTGATTTCTTGAGTTGTGATTGATAATAATTACTTCTCCATCTAGAAGAAAAGCTTGGAATTTCTATATAAAAAACAAAGCTACTCATTTAGTATTCATGGACTGATCTCTATGAAAAAGTGAAAATAAGTTAATATTATACAGAGTATGGATTTTTTAAAGATACGATAAAAATAAATTAATCTTAATTCTTTTTCTCTCTCTCTCTGTTAGGACCACTCTTTTTCATGGGCCTAAATGCTAATAGATTTTAATAGTGATGTAACTTGAAGGTTAATATTTTGCAGGATTTTAATGCCAAAGGCATATAAATTTTTTTTTAGGTTTGTTAATTTTAAGTTAATAAAATTTTAAAGACATAATTGTATTGTATTGTATTTTTAAGTTACTTAAGTTATGTATGAATTTATATTTGAACTATGTATTTTAAAGTGCTTGAACTTTTGTATTGTTCACATTACTTTACTTTTGTTTTAATTATGTTATATTGTTATTTACTACTTGGCTAAAATTATCAAAATATAATTGGTTAAAAAACTTTACTTATGATTTTACAATCCAAGTTTATATTGTATTTTCAGTCTCGTATAAAAAAAAGCATTTTTGACAACCTTGATTGGAATAACTCTATATAAAACAAATCAAAATAAATTATAAAAAATAATTTAAAATCAATCTATTATTTAAGAATAAAATTGAAAAAAATCAATCTAAAAAAAAGGACACGATAAAATGACCGAAGTCAACTTAGATTATTCTGTAAAATTTATGATCCGAGTTATGAGATTAGAATAACCTAATAAAAAGTAGATCGAAAACAATCACATAGCCTAATTCCTAATTATCCTAGTATTTAATAATAAAATTAAAAAAAAATCTAATTGAACAAAAAAAACACTTGAGTCAATCAGGTTAACGCGTTAAATAGACAACATAGGTCATGAAACTAAGATAACCATATAGAAAGTAAACCGCAACAAATTATGAAGTTCCATCGCTAATAAACTGAATATTGAATGGTAAAAAACAATAGATTTAAAAAACAAAAGAAAAAAATTAGTAGAATGAATACTGTTTTGTGAGGTGTTACAAAAAAATACTAATAAAAAAAAACTCAAGTCAATTAGGTTAACCCGTAACACGGGTCATGAGATTAAAATAATCCCGTAGAAAGCAAATTAAAACAAAGATACTCCCAGTCAAATGTACAATGACTAATAAATCATGTGAAAATACAAAAACACCTTTGACTCCAAGTCAAGTGTTTTTTTTTTTATTTTAAAGGCCATAAACATCACTTGACTATTATGGTGAATAATTAATTGTTCATATGACTACGTGGAAACCCCCTTTTTTTATTAGTTTTATATTATTATTATCATTATTATTATTATTACTATTAGTATTAGTATCATTATCACTAGTATCATCATCATTATTGTTGTTGTTATTGTTGTTGTTATTATTAGAATAACAAAAAATATAAACTTGATTTGAAAGCTTCTTCTTCTTGTTCTAGTGCTACTATTACTACTATTATTATCATTATTGTTATTGTTAATATTTTTATTATTATCATTATCATCATTGTTTTTATTAATAATATCATCATTATTACCGCTGCCATTCTCACATCTTTTCATTGGCAAAGAGAAAGTTTATCTCTCAACTACATTCACATTTGTTTTTGTTTTTATACTATCACGCATTACCTAGATCCTATATGTGAATAGTTTTGCTAAGTATTATTTTCAAAATCATTTTTATTATATTTCTATTACCTATCTAATATATTTAATTAATAGACTACATCTAATATATTTAGATTTATATAATATTTTTATATATTTGATTTTTTATTCCATTTTATTTGAATAAAATTCAAATTTATATTCATTTAGAATTTATTAAAAAATGTAATTTAGAATTTATTAGAATCTATTATTCAAAATTACAATCTAAAATGATTTACTACTACTACTACTATTATTATTATTATTATTATTATTGAAATAACAAAAAATATAAACT